TTGGCCGAATGGTGAATGCTCACACAAACAGAACTGCAACGTCTTATAATGGCATTATGCAAGGACTGGGCGGGGCGCCTCCCACAAATCCATAACTCCGGCCAATCCATGGACTGTTCTGCAGCCTGACTGTCGACGCCTACCCACACATCTGCAGTGCACAGTTTGGAAGTGACAGCTGAACGACCACGGATAGCTAGGCAGCCTGCCTCTCTTGTCCAGACACCCAAACGGTGCCCTAAGAGGGCCTCACCAGCAACTGCATTCCAAACAAAATTCCACAGAGGTCCTTTTGCCTGCATAATGCAGGAACGTTTGTTGCTTGTCCATGCACGTACAGAGGCGCCGCAAGGCCATCACCAACCCGCTGAGCCCTAACCGGTCCGGCAGCCACAAACATATCGAAAAAACAACGAATAATCGGTGCACGCCGCACCAGAATGTCGCGGCGCCAAAGACGAGTTTGCACGCAATTCTGCATTGGGCTGTCTTGCCCTCCGCTTCCTTTCATTGATGCTGCATTCCATCGTCGCAACGACAGGAAGTACGGGACCAAACGAAACGGTAGTCGGCATAAAATAAACTCCTTTCAAATGCCAATTTCACGCCGCGACCCAGGAGACTCCGCCCCCATCTCCTGTTGCGGAAGCCGCCCGGCACACAAGCGCACATACGCGTGAAGAAGCTCAACGTGCCAATATAAACTATATGCAGACTAATAGCTTCTCAAGCTTCGTTCACCTGCGCGCTCGCATCCACGGCAAGAACGCAACAAATGCGGCAATAGGCGTCGTGGAAAACCAAACACCTTCCTCAGTCATGTACATCGATGCACATCAATTTCAGTTGCTGTTGCTGTGTATCTGCTGGCGACAACACGAAACCTTCAAGGACCCAGTGGCACACTTTCTGGTATAGTGCAGGTGTTTGCCAAGGCGAATGCTTCATTTTCTTCCTGGCGGCAACCCAAAACCTTCAAGGACCCAGTGGAACACTTTCTGGTATAGTGCAGGTGTTTGCCAAGGCGAATGCTCCATTTTCTTCATGTTGTAAGAAATGTTGTACCAAACGTTATGCAAATTCTTTCCCCCTGTGCAAGTGCCGCCCGGACGATGTTTCCACTCTGCTGCAGCGTGGTGGCTTGACAAGCAATGCAAACAAGACGCATGACGCTAAGCCGCCGTCGTTGGCGTTGGGACAGAAAGTAAACATAGGCCAACGATGCTTGTCGGTGTCGACGTCTTCCGAGGCGTAACTTCGTCTTCAAAGGTCTCTAAGAGATAGCGCGAGTTAAAAACTTTATTAGGATAATGCTAATACAGTTGCTCAACTCGCGTTATGTTTTTCGGCCTTTTCAGCAGCTTTCGGCTCCTCCCTCTGTAAAACAAGCCTTGAAATTGCAGTGTCGGTCTTTTGTACACGCTGGAGTTGCCATAAGCAAGAGAGTCAACCCGGACAAACTTTGGAGTGGCAATGCCCGCCCGTTCTCTTGATTATGCCACGTTGAGCTATGCGCGGGCCGACATTGCCACTCCAAAGCTTGTTCAGGTTAACTCTCTTGCCTATGGCGACTCCAGTGTATACAAGAGATCGAGCCCTGCCACTAGAAAATTTGGCGTCCGCCTCGTTCAATCTGAACTACCGCGTGTGGTTGCTCATCTTCCAAATGATTGGCGTTGCCTTGCATCTCCTTATCGGGCAATTCTGAGAACTATCCCTCCACTAGAAATTGCAGCAGCGATCCACTCCATCGCAGATGAGCATGCAGTTTTCATACGCCGCAGTGGGTGTTGTCTCCATGGACGTGAATGTGCAACGTATATTTAACTGCCTGGGCGCAGCGTCAGAAGGATCATCTGCTCCTCCAAGAGTGACTCACAGACACCATATTTATCGCTTCTGATTTATCTTTATTTGCTCTGGCTGCCGTTATGGCGTGCGCGAAATATGCAATGGCCAAGGCCAAAAACGCAGCTGCAATATGGCTGACGGGAGCGCGCGTATGCTCCACTTGGGCAAGCGGCTTGTAGTCGCGACGGAGCTCCACGAAATCACTATCATTCTGAAGAGCATTTTCGACGTTGGAAACGTTCTTGGCGGGGGTAGGTTGCGGAGAACTTTCAACTTCAGTGGCCAGGAAGGCCGTTGAGGTCCAGAGGAACAGCAATAAGAATAACATCTCAAAAATAAGGAATAGCACCCGCCTACTCCAAAACCTAAAGATTTTTTTCTTATGTTATATACTATGATTTGACGCCCCGAGCTTGAAGTCACAGTCTTGTTGCCCTTTACCAATCCCGCTCCCTGCTGGCGGGCGAATCTAGTGTCAGTCCGGTCACTGATACGTCGCGTGTTGCTGTGGCAACAGCGTGTACGTAGTACCGATTCTTATGGTCCTGCCATAACGTAGAATCCCCCTAAATGCACTAACTAAATCATACTAGATTGTTTGTAAGTAATCGGAAATTCTCATTAGTTAAACGATCAACCGTTTGGTATTGAGGTATTTATGCCAGCTCCCACATTCAACAATAAGTGAA